ATACAGAGAGTGATAGACACACACACATATAATATACAAATTGACATGACAAATACACATGAGGACTACTTAACCAATCTAAATGTTGTAGCATACCTACGATAATAGGTATGTCTCCATTCAGATAAACACAGTAGTAAATACTGTATGTTGGTCTGGATTTAGAGATTCATGGTGGTATTCATTTGACTCACTTCTAGCATTTGACTAGTTCTCCTACACGCAAGCTGGCGAAACTTATATGTGTTGTTCTTGTCCTATCTATTATCATTCATTACCAAACGTTGTTTGATTATTCTATTCAGTAACCTTCCCTAGGTTACACCAATAAACCAACAACACAAAAATAAAAAAAAAACTGCCACAATTTCGTTTTCTCCCCCATATTTCAATTTCTGCTGAGCTTAAATAAAAGCGAAACGTCAAATATTTGAACATTTCGTACTTGTTCTTAATCCTTCCATTCTGTCGGATTCTAATCTATATATAATCCATTTATTGATCCCTACAAATATTAAATATATTGTATCTGAAAAGCTTATTTTGAGGTAAAATTTTGTTTATCTTTTAGCAAAAATATGATGACAGACAAGTGTAAGGAAGAATGTGGAAAATATTAAAAGGATATATCAATTCCTCTTTTTATTAATACACGAAAAACCTCAAATTTCAAATTAATCTTGCTCTTACTAATAAATGCCTATGCCCTTAGTTGTAAAGACAACCTCCAAAAATTTCATGTAATTATTTAGAGATTTTTAACACCTCCCACTGGGATTTTCGAATTCACATCTTTTAAAAAAAATTCTGCAGATACCTGTTGAGAGAAAACATTCATTACACCGATTTATCTAAATGTAGGCCTAGGGGTTAAGCTCTGGGGTCATTCACGTCTTTGACAGTATCAGTAATGGACCAGTTCCGTAGACTTTATCCTTTCCGATCAATTTATTGCTGAAGATTTATGTGAAGATCTATACAGACGACTTGTTGGTTTTTTTTTCTCTCGATGATATCGATTTATTACTTTCCTTTCATTGTGCCATTCGCTTTCCCAAAGTTCGCAGGCTCATCATCTGAAAATAACTCTCATGTCATTATATTCCTTTTACCATGATTGACCAAGATTACGCTGTCCTTTGGGTTGAACGAATCTTTTTTTTTTTCATTCCCCAGATTCGTAAGACCTTCAAGCGCTATTTTTGTTTCATCTGCTGCACAAAAGGCAGATGAGATTTTGCAAAGACGATAGAACCTTTTGTATGCTTTGATTGAAGAATCAGAATCCCTTTTCTTCTCTCGATATGACGGCCACGTTAAGACAGTGTCAACTGAATTGCCTGCACTGATATAGAGATACAAGAATTGCCGAAATTCAAGGGTTTTTTTGTGATCCTAATAATGTTGTTAACCTCCCATAACTTTCTTATTCTCTAACAAAAAGCCACTATTGGTTTCCGATGGCAACCATTAGAATTTTTATTGACTCGAATAACCTTTATGTTTCATTATTAAGCGTGGTACGTTTAAGAACCTAGAAATAGCCAACGTTCTTTGGAATTTTCGTGAGGAATACAGAATCGACTAAATGTACTAGAAATAATAAAATATCTAGAGATATAATCTAGAAATAATTTCTTTCTTTTTATGTCCCATGTCCTTTCAGGATGTAGGCGATCATAGCTCTCCACCTCCCTCTATCCCTTGCATTTCACAAGAAGTTCTTTCCCTCAGCCCCCCCCCCAAACCGCGTTCTGTCATCCATTTGCTTAATCCCGACAGGTATGTCAAGCGTTGTTTTCCCTTGTCTTTTCTCCCTCTATTTGACCCTTGAGTATCAGATTCTCCAGGCGCTCCTTCCTCATTATGGGTCCCAGAAAATTCAGCTGCCTCTTCCTCATATTAAGTATAAGCCACCTCCTTGTTTGTCTGTAAGACCTCATCGTTGCTCACACGTTCTGTTCATAATATCCTTAGCATCCTTCTGTAGAACATCGACGCCTCGAGTCTCTTCTTCATCTTTGAGGAAATCGTTCAAGATTCGCTGCCATAAAGAAGGATAGTTGTCACGTAACAGCTCAGTATTCTTTTCTTTGATGCCAAAGAAATCTTTATGTCTCGGAATACTCTGCCCAACTTTTGGAATGCTTCTGTGGCCATCGCAATCCCATCTCCGTCGCCTCGAGTCTCTTCTTCATCTTTGAGGAAGCGTGGCAATATTTTTGGACATGATATTTTCGATGATCTGTTAATAAACAGATTTTTGCTGTATGGTGATCCCATTATTCTAGCAGTCATTTAACAATGAGTAAATTTGAAAGAAAAGAGGAAATTAAAGAACACTGACTCCAACAATTTGAAAGGTAGAACGAGCTGAAATTTCAGGGACCTATAATGTGGAATGATTGTTCCGAGAATTCAAAGGCGGGAGAAGATGGGAGTGAAATCACGAGAAACCTATTTAACGGATATGAATGAATTGATGACAAAACAAAGAGAAAGAAAGATGGCAAAGTTTCAAAAGTTAGGACGCCTTTGAATGGATTGTATTACTTTCCCAAACGTTACACTCTGCTTGCCAAAATCCGAGCTCGAATAACATAATGCAAAATTTCTAAAGTTATTAAGAAAAAAAAAACAAATCTCGGAAAATTGTCAAATGACTTATAAGAGAAACTGTAATGGTAACAATAATAAAGAGTTTCCTTATTTAGGAAAAAATTAGTATTCATTGACACAACTGCCATTGCAATATCTTATACATTACTAGCAGTAGAGCCCGGCGTTGCCCAGGGATGTAACAGTAAGAGATATATCAAGTATCGACCCTCATAAAGACTGAAAAATGAAATTGACAAAGATTATTGTTTAAGGTTGATGGACACGCATGTCTTAATTATTTTTTTTTTTTTTTAACGAATTGGCCAAACCCAAACTCAAACAAAAACATTGTTTTCAATCGTTATGAGTCTATCGATTGGATAGAATTTTATTATAAACAATTGCCTTGTAAATGGAATTTTTAAAGCATTCTGAATATAAAAATAAAGAAAAAAGTGTGCAAGACAATAAGAAACACTACCTGCCAAAGTTTTGTTGAAATAGGTTGAAAAATGTAGGAAATCCGATCCCATATATAAACAAGCAGACACACACACACACACACACACGCACACACACACACACACACACACACACACATTACACACACACAAACAACCTGGGTTTTATAATAAGTATAACTCGATATGAGTTGTCCCCCTTTCATCCTCGTGATGCCGCTTAATCGTGTTTTCAAATTGAATTCCTGCGAAAACAATTGTGTTTTTCCAATTTTTGACGCTGTCAAAACCACCGCCGGGTAATTTTACGTAGTCCTATGAAATTTTGTTGAAATCGGTTGAAAAATGTAGGAAATACGATCCCATATATAAACGAACACACACATACACACACACAATCTGTGTTTTATAATAAGTAAGATATTATTCTATGTCTATTATTTTCCTGCTCATTATTCCGGGGGACATGAAAATCAGGAAAGGGGAAGTACTTTTAGATAAAATAGATAAAACTCCTTACGGATATGCCGATAAAAATAACCTTCCCTCAAGTAGTATAATTCTATGAATTTATAGCCTGAAGCTTGGACCACTAGATAGTTTCTTATGAATTAATTTTATTCTTTGTTCGTTTTAAATCCGAAAAATATAATCTTGCTGAAATTTCGATTTCAAGAGAATTGTTCTTTTTCATTGCAGTCAGATTATGAAGCAATGGAACGCCGCTGCATTCTTATAAGACAATCATTTATGTGCCATGCGTAATACTCGCTTAGGCGATCATGTATCTGAAGATACATGACTGACGAGGCAGAAATTTCCCGAAATAGGTTGTCATTTCTTTCTGCGGTAGACCAGCTGCCATCCAAGTCTATAGAAGCCGGTTTGTCCTGCTATTTACCCATAGCTGTGGGGGAGATGAGGATTCATACCTTTCCAGAACGATATTAGCTCGTAAGTGAATATAATGGATTCGAGTGGAATTCGAACTCGGTCCTCCAATTCCTCAATCCTCTATCCACTACTCCACATTGCACTCACAGTCAAAAGTGTAAAGGTTTTTATTGGGTCTAGAAACAACTACGACGCCAGTAAAATTGAGATACAAATACTTCAAAGTTGCTTCAAGTAGGAAGAAATGAAAAGAATAAATACAAAATATGAGATTTAAGTGCCAGTAAAATGGGCGATAAGTTTACTCTGTTCGCCGGATCATATAGGGGCCGCTTTATACAAGGTAGCATTATAATCGCATTCAGAGAAAAGGAGTTCTCACTGTACGTAAGGAAGATATCTTCCCTTATTCTGTTATTAAAGAAGAGAAAAATAGCAGTGAGATTTTTCCAAAGGTTACTTACCAACACCTTCAGGCAGTTAAAGCTGAATCCATAAATAAACGAGCCAGAATATTGAAAACAAATTCGTGTTTTTATAGAGATGGTGATATTCAACTTTCCGTCCATTTGCTAGATATACACTGGGTCTTTCCCAGTTTCTTTTTTCTCACGCTCCCGCAGACCGGAACCGAAACACATCGTAGGTTGAAGCTGGCTAGTCAATGAAAGACAGACTTACATGCTGATCGAACCGAGGTTAATCGGACAAAAGTCTCCAATTTTTTAATCAATTTTTATCACTTTTTCTTTTTTACATGAATCAATTTGTTTGGTTTGGTTTGGTTTGTTTTGTTTAGCAGCATATTAACCATAGAAATCTAAATATTTTGGACACAATTTTATTTTATTTTTGAAAATGATAATCGTTCAGTGAAAAACGATCTTACTAATTAACCCATAGCTGGGGAAGATGAGATGGATACATACATTTCCTAAGGTTATTTGCGCGTAAGTGAATATAACAGACCCAACTGGAATTGGAACTCGGCTCTCCGATTATCAATTCCGTGCCATTAGACACTACATCACCCACACTTCCAAACTTACAGCACCTGGTATTCCCAAGCGGTCACCCATCTAGGTAAGGGCCAGGCTTGACGTTGCTTAACTCCGATGATTGTACGGGAAGCGGTGTTAAGTGATGTGTCTGTAAGCCTTGAATGAATCGGGTGGTATTCTCATTTCCTTTGCATTTAAATCCATGTTATGTTGCTTACACAATTTTTCGGAAGTTCTATTTTTAGGACATGACCATGACAGGAGGAATGTCAAGTGACCATATGTAAAGTGGAACCAGACGGATCTCATGTATAAGTTCATGTCGAAAGAAAGTGGGCCATACATTACTTTCTGTGCAATAAAATCTAAATAATAATAGAGAACGCCGCTGGAGTGTTCGAAAATTAAAAGTATCTGCATATATACACTAGGCTAGATCCATGTTAGTCCGATATAGATTTAATTGTGGCTTTTTTGCTTTACTGCAAAACGGTATGGAACTATTGATCTAAGAAAGAAGGATTTGAGAACATGTGTAAAAAATAGAAGCTGTATTTTCATCTGTTTTGGGATATTAACGAACTCGTGTTGCCATTTTTTGTAATGCTAACGAATACTCGTTGTCAATTTCGTAATTCTCATTGTAGTAGAGGCTTTGTAATCGCAGATACAACTACAGTTCGCCGCTGAACAATGTTGGTGACAGACCCCTTCGAATAGCAATCGGACTAATAGTACTTGCCGGATAATATTAGCTCGAAAAGAGTAACCACCGTATAGTGATCATCATAGAGAAAGAGTATAGTGAATAGAGTAGAGATTAGCGCTCCGTATAATAATAGAGGATAGAGCGATCCGTATAGTAATAGAGGATAGAGTAGAAATGATGATCGATTAGACGCAAAGCTAATTCCTACTTATGTGTTTCGTCTATGGTCATGTGGTCTACTTATTTCAATAATGGGATCGCCTGTATTTGCTCACTGGCGACCCATGTTCAAACACAAGTGTCGGTAGCGACACCTTATTCCTAGATAAGAATCCGTTGTAATTTCTAGGTGTTATACGATCGTTTAACATTCTTTAACGAAGTAAATTACAAGATATATGAAGCATATGTCAAGGTTTAGCCACCCTCTGTGTAAACATAGCACAGAAGTAAATACCATATAAGAACGATTAAGAGGCACCTCGAGATGGTGTAATATTTAGCAAGATTGACTCACTTGCAACAATTACGACTAAGTAGTTAGTTCGATCCTCACTGGGTACCCCATACTTTCGGCTTTGTGCTACATCTGAGCTACGCTTGAAAAATCACTATAAGAACCATTAAGAAAGAAAGAAAGAAAGAAAGAAAGAAAGAAAGAAAGAAAGAAAGAAAAGACTTCAGCGTCATCGACCGTTAAAAAAAAAAAGAGAGAGACGCCTGTGATAGAGGGCAAACGTATAACTACAACAGTATTAGCAGGAGGCGGACATGAAGAACATTGTGTGTGAGGCTTCAACTTCTATATTCAGGATTGTCCCACGGGACATGAGCCTATTGGATTAAGGCGTTGATTAGTGAATTAATTGATATTTGTGAGTTCAGACACTGGGCCGGGTAAACATTTTTGCCGAATGAAAACTCGCTTGAGGAATTTTCGTCGTATGAAATTTCGCCGTATAGGATTTTTGTCGTAAGACATTTTAGCTGCATTTTTTTTCGATACCCATAACTTGAACGTCCCTTTAAAGTTCAGTTTATTATGCGAAGTACTTTGTTTATCAAGTATATATGGATGACTATTTTACAGGGTCAAGCATCAGAAAAGAAATTAAAAAGTAAACAATAAAAAATAAAAGACTAAAAATATATCAAATTAACAAAGAAATAATTTTAAATGTGTTCAAATTCTAAGAAATATTTCGTAAAAAATGTTTTTTTTTTTCGTTGGGCTGTAATGAAGCATTTTCCGATGAAGTTGGGCATTGATATCAATATATATTTTCTTCATTTGTACTGCACTTCCTGAATCTAAATTACACTTTTTCTTTTTTTCTAATGTCTCTTCCTTTTGCAAATACGAAATTAGTTTCCACAAATTTGAGTGCATCCTATAACTTTGCTTTTTTAAAATGTTTAAATCGAAGTAACAATAGTGTGAGCCAGATATACTTGATAAAAATATACTCCGCATATTGAAAAAATGTGGCGAAAATGTCTTACGGCAAAAATCCTATTGGGTAAAGTTTTCTAACGCGAAAATTCCTGGGGCGAGTTTTCCTACGGCAAAAATGTTTACGATGAATGTTCCTAGAATCATTTTACATCAATTGAAATTTGCGGCTCTCTCCAAAATGGCATACTTTCAAAATCATGTATTTATCGTTCTTCATTATTTAGTGGTTTGAAGAAAATAGTAGGTATTTACTCTATCTCTCCACTAAGAGGAGTCCTGACAAAAGGTCAGTTTTTAAGGTAGCAACCCGAACGCGTACACCCGGGCTAGGAAAAAAAATTAGGAACAAAATTACCCGTAGCCGCCGCAGTCGTCGGTTGCGCTGGCCTCGATTCGAGCACCGATCCCTCTCCCACTGATGGAATGAGATGACGCGTCCTCGGACAGTTGTTCTGCGGGGTTGGGCACTTCTCAGCATAATATTCCTCATTTGTGACTCCGTCCTTTGACGGAGCCGCCCCTGAGCGCACTCTGCCCGAAGACAGAGACGCAACAAAAACAGAAGAAAATAGTAAGTACAGAGGCAATGTTGACATGATCGTCCAATTTCGGAAATCAATATTCCAAAGATTAGCTTTTATCTGGCTTCTAACTTTGACAACCGGAGACTGTGGAAAATATACGAAAGTTTAAGATAACCGAAATGTCGACATCTTTATTATCAGAGGCCGACTTGAATTTCCTGCCAGCTCCGCGCCGTCGCCATTATATCTGGAACCTATTTTACAAATCAACAGCGACTTTGTCTGTCTGTAGGCACCTTACCTTTACTTTGTAATTTCGACATTCTCGGGAATCAATCAATCGATCATCCGATTGATTTATCGGAAAGTATTCAGTGTTAAGCTTCAGAAAACTGTACTTTAATTAGATCCAATTATTTTGGCATTGATATTCACTGACGCATAACATTGTATGAAGCAGGACAATAACAAGAATCAAAAAACTTAATCGAATAAACAATGATTTATGGAAAAATAATAATGGCGGATATCACACAACGCGACGAACTACTTTCGACAAAGCGACTGCAGGTGTGATTTTCTAGCTCCAGATCGCCGGAACAAATATATATATATATATATATAATTTTTTTTAATTTGATGAGTCGCGAATAATTATTAAATACACGTTGCAAAAACATTATTTATAATTTACTGAATATATTTTTTTCCTCTTTTAGAAAAAAAAATGTTATAATTCTATTAAGAGGATTCATCAATAATTTCCATTTTTAACAACTTTATTCTTAAAAAAAAATACTGAGCAATTATATGTGATTCCGTCATATATTCACAATTATTTACAATAAAGTGTTGTCACTTATCACTTTAATGACTTTATATTACATTTCTGCATTTTCTAATGCAAAATATTTCAACGAACTATATTTCGTCACGGAAAAAAATTCTCAATCAAAGTTTTTGGAGTCATTTTTATAGCAAGGTTGTGGATATAACGTGGGTAGGATAGAACAGATGAAAGGAAATCCATTCTTTTTTTTTACAATTTTATCCTTTCTATATTCGTTTTTTGCGTTGTCATAGAGTAACATATTTCTTTGATCCACTGTGTACGCTGTCATTGCCATACAAAAAGATATGTTAACGCACTCAAAATTTATATATGGTTGGTAGTTAGAATGATACATTAATCATTACAATTAGTTCCCCCAAACAGAAATTATTTATGATTTATTGTAATATTTAACTCAAAATTACATCACATTTTGGTTTCATAATTTCGATAACATATATAAAACGAATATTATATACATTTATATAAATTGTAGAATGTACGTCTAAAAATGTCCCCCTAAATTATTTTATGCCTATACAGCAAAGCTGAATGAAACCATCTATATAATAAACTCGAATGTCAGTGTGTCACACTTTTTCAATTAAAGGGACACAACTCTCTAACTTTCAGAAGCTCTTGTTATAGAAATTTTGGATTTCCAAGTTTTCCTTACTGCGTTTATTTTCGCCGATATTTTATGTGATTTTTGTGACGAATTTTTTGTACGATAACTATTTTTATAACTTGGAAATAAATTTAGGAATAATTGAAATTAATTGTTAAATCCAGCAAAAGTCAGCCACAAAAATAAAAATAATTGTTTATTCGGAAAGAAAGGACCTGCGCACGTCAAACTTTTAAATTAAGCTGCTGCAGAAGAATTATCGTTGAACTTTTAAAAGTTAAGCTTAAATATTAGTGCAATATTTAAATTCAGCGATCAATTTTGACTTATTCTGTAGTTTATTGTTGCCTATTGCATACGACAGCAGTATGCCTCGCAAAAAGAAACCTTCGCCAAAAGACGACCAGATTGCAATCAAAATGGCCAAGGCTGCAGCGAAGAAAAGAAAGTCCTGTACAAATGAAAACTCAGATCAAACGGCAGCGAGAAGAGCTTCCAATACAATATGCAAAGATGTAGGGACTCTCGAACACCTGAACAAACCGAAGCTCCAATGAAGAGCCGTCCGCAGGGGCTAGCTTAAATGCTGCCCGTTTGAAATATTTTTCAAATAATATTCCATTTTGTGTTTGGCTTATTTAAATGCTCCTTAGCAAACTTTAGATGCGCCTCTGCGTATATTTTTTCGGAATTTTCTTGGGTGATGGTGAACCGGGGATTTTCTTGATTTGTTCTTAAGTTCTTTCTTTAATAGATACAAAGCTCAAGCGACAAAAGAAACAGTTTTAATGTGCCACATTCTTTTCTATTTCCATTTCCAGTACTTTGTATTGGCTTACTTTTTTGAAAACACTTCCCAGTTATATATTTGTCACTTGGCATGCTCATCATAGTGTGTATTTTTTCGTTTCTGTCTTTGATAATAATCTGTGTTGATAAAACAAATCCCAAAGAATGGTAACACCTGCTTCCTCAACTGCAGGTGGTGT